AAGGGAGGGGGGAGGGAGGAAGGGAGGAAAGGAGGGAGGGAGAAAACTAGGGTGGATGGGTAGAAATAGAAGCAAAAGAAAAGGCTGAAGCGAGGATGGCTGGAGAGGTCACAGGGTAAATGTCACTGGCGACGGAAAGGAGCCACCAAGAGATCACCAAAAGAAGGACGCTGGGGATCTTAAGTAGTAGACATTAGATAGGCTTAACATGTTATATATCTTTAAATGAAATCTTACGATGTTTGGCTCTGTGGTGAGGGATGTGCAATTCTTCTCAATTCCTTTATGAAAAGGTCAGTAATTTTGTGTATTTGTATTTCAGACCCCCAAAAGGAATTTAGCTGGAGAGGAGCCTGTAAGAAACCTTCAGCTGTGGAAGGGCTTCCCCAGCACAGTCACGGGAAGGGTAGGCGGGTCAGCTGGCTGGAGCATGAAGTGACGTGCCGGGGGGGGGGGGGGGGGGGCACCACCACTTTTTTAGAAGGAAAAAAAACAGGAGACACAGGGGGGGCCGCCCCCCCCCCCCTGCCGCCCTGTAGGACGTGCGCACCTGGTCTCGCAGATTCCATACGAGCGCCAAGGAGTTTCACGCGGGGGTTTCTTAGATTTGTCACTTAGACCACGTGGCTACCACTGAAGGACAGATCAGAGTGGTCAAGGTTGGCGACAGGGAGACAGATTAGACTTTTATTTTACAACAAAACTCATCCAGGTGATGGATGAGGAAGGCAGAACAGGATCGTGGTGGGGGGGGGGGGTGAAAGAAACGCACGGGTGTGGGAACTTTGCAGAGGACAGAAGCAGCAAGCTGTCGTGATTGGCTGGATTGACTTCAGATGAGAGAAGCGCGTCAGGGACACTTCTTAGGCTTCATAGAATGGCTACTGTTGACACATTAAAAAAAAAAAAGAAAAGACAAAGCACATTTGGAGAAAAGCAATTGGGGACGCCTTGCTTCCGTTGTTGCTTTCTGTTTCTTTTTTGTGAAAAGCTATGAGCTCTTTTTTGAAGTTTTGTTTGCAACATTTAGGGGGCAAAAATTTATAGAGCTGTTTAGCAAGGGGCTGGATATCTGGTCTATGGTTTGGGAAGGAAGCAAAGAAATCATTAGGATAGAGGCAAATAAGTGAGAGGGAAGAAATGGGTTTGCCCCTGGGAAAGAAGAATGGAGGGTCAAGAATGACGCCCTTGGAGGGGTGCCCGGGTGGCTCAGTCAGTTAAGCGTCCGACTTCGGCTCAGGTCATGATCTCGTGGTTTGCAACTTCGATCCCCGAGTCGGGCTCTGGGCTGACCGCTCAGAGCCTGGAGCCTGCTTTGGATTCTGTGCCTCCCTCCCCTGCTCACGCTCTGTCTCTCTTTCTCAAAAAAAAACATTAAAAAAAAATTTTTTTTAATGATGCCCTTGGAAAGTGATGTTTGGAGATACAGATGTGACTCTAGGGTGTGTGGCTTGTGTTACTGGTTCATGACGACCTGATTATTTAAGTCGGCACCTTCAGCTGCAAAAACAGAGACTCATTCAATTTATCTCAGGAAAAGTGGGATGGCTCAGTCGGTTGAGCGTCCGACTTTGGCTCAGGTCATGATCTCACAGCTCGTGAGTTCAAGCCCCGTGTCAGGCTCTGGGCTGACAGCTCAGAGCCTGGAGCCTGCTTCGGATTCTATGTCTCCCTCTCTCTCTGCCCCTAACCCACTTGCATTCTGTCTCTGTCTCTCTCAAAAATAAATAAACATTAAAAAACATTTTTTAAAAAAAGTGGGGTTTATTGGAAAGGTCATGTAGACCAGAACCCAGCGTGTAGAGCTCAGCAGATGAGGCAGGTCTAGGGGTGCCTGTCTCTCTCCAACCCCATTTCTCTCTGTGAATCCTCTATACTATCTCAGTACCAACCAGATTTATTAGCTCTTTTTTAGGACTAACTACCCCAAGACTTAGAAGATGTATAAATGTCTTGGAACCGTAGGCAAAAAGTCACATATGTGTTCGTTTGTACATTTCCCTGGGGGAGAGAGTCCACACTTTTATACGCTTCTCAGAGCGATCCCAGATACAAAGGAAGCCTTCAGACCTCCTCGTCTCTCTCTCTCTCTCTCTCTCTCTCTCTCTCTCTCTCTCCCTAGGCAGAGGCAAGCTCCGGGGTGCCTCAGCCCCAACTCAGCCCGATCATATCCTTTCACTACCAGATCTATCTATTGCAAATTACAAAATTCTTTTCATTTTTGTTAGTTCAGATGGGTCGAGCGTTTTCTGCCTGAGGCCAAAGGCGATTGGAGAAGGCCAGCACGGCTGAATAGTGACAAACGTGAAGCAAGTTTTCCTAAGTAGGAGGTTAGGCAAGGCAGTTTCCTTTCGAAGAGAGACAGTAGAGCCAGGATCTCAGGAAAGGGTTGGCCTTTCCTGAAGCATGGCCACTAGCCCTTCAGGGCAAATAGATTCTGTATCAGGCACCCTGGCTGGAATGATCACCCCCTGGCCGACTGAAACGGGCTGATAGTAAGCTGGAAAGAAATCGCTGATGGAATTCTATGGAAACTGTTCCTTGCCTTATCTTTTCTACCCTTTCGGTCAGTAAAAGCATATCAAACATGAATATCAAATCTGCATTTATCAGAAAGCTGGGGACACCCTATAGCATGCTGGAGGACAGATCTCAGTCTCCAAAAGACCTTGGCAGCCTGGAGTCATGATTTGAATCAAAGACGATGCGATTTGGTGCAACTGAATGTGAAATACTGTATTTAGAATTTTTTTTAATGTTTATTTATTTTTGAGAGAGAAAGAGAGACAGAGCATGGGGGTGGAGAGGGGCAGAGAGAGGGAGACACAGAATCCGAAGCAGGCTCCGGGCTCCGAGCTGTCAGCACGGAGTCCAACGTGGGGCTCGAACTCACGAACTGTGAGATCGTGACCTGAGCCGAAGTCGGAGGCTCAACCACCTGAGCCACCCAGGAGCCCCTAAAATACTGTATTTAGAAGGATTAAAATCAAACACGTACCTGCAACATCAGGAAGAGGAGGCCGAACCATAGTGTCAAATAATCTCTCGCCAACTTGAGCCACTAGCATAAAATGATTGCGGAGAAGAAAAGAAAAAAAAACAACCACTTTGTATTAATAAAGGTTTCAATGCCCAGACCCAAGTGAAATGGTCCATTCGTCATTGACTAGACAGTATTTATCTACATGTAATACTTGCTTCCTGGGGCCATATTAAAAAAAAAAAAAAAAGCGTTGGAAGACTTTTCTTCTTTAGAGCAGTTCTAGGTTTGCAGCAAAATTGACGGGTGGTGCAGAGATTCCCCTTACCCACCCCCCCCTTGCTTCCACACATGAAGAGCCTCCCCCATTACCAACGTCCCCCACCAGCGTGGGAGAACGGCTGAAATCAATGAACCTACATCGATCGTCACGTCAATATCACTCAAGGTCCACAGTTTACATTACAGTTCACCCTCGGTGCTGCGCTTTCCAGGGGTTTCTGGGACCACGCAGGCCCTTTCTGGGACCATGCAGGCCCTTAGGCTGGCCTGCCCCAGCTTTGATTTGGATTTCTTCCTAAGGTATTTTCTCTCCTCTTTGCTGGCCCACACTCTATCCCTTCCGGTCCCTGAGCAAATGATGCCTTTCCTTCTGCACCCGGCCGGGTTCTACCGCCTGACCTCCAGTTACGTTGGAGAGCCCTGGACACAGCCCTGGACCCAGCCCTGGCCTTTGTCACCTTGCAATCCCACCTCCCTCCACCCTCCGAAACAGACTCCTACAAGTTGCAGGGAGCAATCACGAGGGCTGGCTCTTTAGTCTTCACGGCGCCCACCACACAAGAAACTGGGGCACGGGGTCGAGTCTCAAAGTAAGTGACTGGCAGAGTCAGGGTTCAGACTCCACGTATTTGACCCTCGAGGCGTGTCGAGCCCCGGTCCACTTTTTCAGTCCCTCTGTGAGCTCTGCCAGGACGAAGTCCCAGAAACCAGTCTTAGAATGGCCCGTTCTGTCTCTTTGGAAGTCTCTATGTTGCCACTTAAGTTGTCAGCCCTTGTTTCCTCGGTCCACAGCACCTGGCTGTCTCTCTCTCTCTCTCTGCCCTTCCCTGCTCCCACTCACCCTCCCTCACATACAGAGTCAGCTCATGACAAAACGAGTTGTTTTTACTTTGGCACCTCATCTGAGTCTGTGACCTTCACTCGAAGAACACCATGAGAGACGGATAAGTTTTGGCTACAGGTCGGAAAGGACGGACGTTTGCCGCCCTGATGGCGCGGCTTATCAGACAAGCTCGTCACATAAATCTGCACAACTCCTACATCATCACTGATACCAACTTGCTTTCAAACCCAGCTGTGACTGTCCAAAGATTCGTACATTTCTTTGCCCAGGGGATGCAATTTAGCCACATCAGAAATTGGGTAAACTGGGGCGCCTGGGTGGCTCAGTCGGTTAAGCCTCTGACTTCCGCTCAGGTCGTGATCTCACGGTTCGTGGGATCGAGCCCCGCGTCCGGCTCTGTGCTGACAGCTCAGAGCCTGGAGCCTGCCTCGGATTCTGTGTCTCCCTCTCTCTCTGCCCCCTCCCCCACTCACATCTGTCTCTGTCTCTCTCTCTCTCTCTCTTTCAAAAAATAAATAAACATTAAAAAAAATTTTTTAAGAAATTGGGTAAACGGCATATGTGGGAACCATGTAACTGAAAAAAAAAATTAGACAAAGTCCTCCACGGGCACAGGCTGGTCAAGAAGGTGCTCAGACATTAGAAGAAATCACGGGAGTATCATTTTGAACTTGCCGGTGGTATAGACCGTGTATGGGGGAACAGGAGGCAGAGACCGATCATGGCAGGGTAAGGGGGGCCATCAGATGAAGTTGGCATGGCCGTGGAAAGCAGTGAGATTTGAAAAGACCAAGTGCGATACCCAGCAGAGCCAAATGCTCCTGCCGAGTAAATGAGAGTCTGGGGTGGACCCATCCTTCCCCTGACAGCAAAGAGACAGGGTAGGAGCGCCGGTCTGAGGCAGGACTTCAGCCAAACCCGGGGCTCCAGGAGTCCCCAGGGACAGGAGGCTGGCCTCGGATGGCAGAGCGTATCAACACTGAATCGTCGCCATTCCCTTCCTCAAACCCACAGGCAAGGCCAAGTGTATGCTTTCAGGCTAATGAGCTCTCAGAATGCCAAACTAAACTTCATTTGCTGTTTGAAAGATTTTTCCATTTCTGGCCCTGGTGAAAGACCCGGCGGTTTCACCCAGAGCTCTTCCTACAGTGAGAACAATTAACCCAAAGCAAACTACGTGCCCTAGGTTATCAGAGCCCCCATAGAATGGGCACACGAGTCCCCAAGGCAGGCCGAGAGTCAGGCCAGGGGCACATCTGCTCGTTTTCCCTTCCAAAATAACCGTGGCACTAAGATCCTGTCCGCGCCTGCCAAGAAAGCACTGCCCAGTAACTGGCCGTGGCCAGCGGTGACCACACAGGGCGACCCAAGTAGCAATTCAGGGTGATGTCCCCAGACAACGGTAACGTACACTAAGTCGTAACACATTTCAGACTTCTGTGGCCGGAGTGTACTTAAATAAAAATTACCCTTGGAGAGCGTAACGAGAACTTGGTCTCTTTTAAGGGCTATGATCTACTTAATTGATTCAACAACATCTCTCCCTCACGCGACTACCCACCCAGTCACAGAGGGGACCCGGATGATGCGGGCTAACTTCCCTAGCCAGAGGGTGACGTCACTCACACCTCTCTTCCCCAGCATGAGGACCTGCTGGCTTCCTTTCACACACTCTCTTACCCGACACACTGTCTCCAGTATCCATGCCAGGCAATTAATCTATTTTTAAGAGGCCACTAAAATGAGAAATTATAAAAAAAAAAAAAAACTAAACTAAAAAACGAGACTGATACGTACAATCAATGACCCTTTTACTTTAATCTAAAAACAAATGTACATTAATTGGCTGGTTTTTCCTTGAGCCAACAGTGCCTGATTTCCCTCGGACCGCAGTCAACCAGGAAAGAAAGAGAAATGTCACAACATCTCCACGATTAGTTTCCTGACTAATTGTAAGAGAATCCCGGCTGAGAAGTCACCTGGGGGCTTAGCTCTTTCAACTCCTTCAACGGAATTGAAAATAATGTATGATTTTTGTGATTCTACAGACAGGTAAAATGAAGTCCAACCAACGATGTCAGCAAACACTCGAGAAAGCTCTGTCTTAAGTGCCTCCAAAAAGGGAGATTAAGGGTGAACAGTGATCTGCTCTCTAGAACCCTAGAAAGATTCAGAAGTTAGAGTATGGTTGAAGGCAGGAGGGAGGCAGGAGACTGGTTCCCATCCCCACCTATCAAGGGGTGCAGGGGTCTTATTTGGGGGGTGAAATGAACATGAAAGGCTCCAAACAAAACCACCAGGTATGGTGGAGGGCAGGGGAGTGGCACTCTACTGACATCAAGGCAATGGGTAAAAGTCCACATGCTATGGGGCGCCTGGGTGGCTCAGTAGGTTAAGCATCTGACTTCCGGACGGTTCATGAGTTTGAGCCCTGCAACGGGCTCTCTGCCCTCAGCACAGAGCCTGCTTCAGATCCTCTGTTCCCCTCTTTCTCTCTCTCTCTCTCTCTCTCTCTCTGCCCCTTCCCTGCTTGTGCTCTCTGTCTCTTTCTCTCACAAAAATAAATAAACATTTTTTTAAAAATCCACATGCTGAACCCTGAGGCCCCACTGCTACCTTGTCGGCTGCTCAGCTCTGAGAAGGCTGGCAGCCATGCAGTTACCCTAAGACAAGAAACTGGAGTATGACAGGAGGGCAGGGTATGTGCAAAGGCCCAGGGGTTGAGACAGAGCTGCAAAGTGGATGGACGGGGTGAAGAGTGAGCCGTGAGCACAGTGACTTGGGCAGAGCCAAAATAGGGAACCTGATCCTCATCTTCTAGCCTAGAAGGAGTTGCAGAGGGTTCTAGAAAGTAAAGCGACACAATCACATCAGCATTAAAAAATGCTGTTTCTTTATTTTGGGGAGGGACAGAGGGTGAGTGGGGGAGGAGCAGAGAGAGAGGGAGACATAGAATCCAAAGCAGGCTCCAGCCTCTGAGCTGTCGACCCAGAACCTGATGTGGGGCTCGAACTCTCGGACCGCGAGGTCATGACCTGAGCTGAAGTCAGACACTTGACCTACTGAGCCACCTAGGCGACCCTCACGTCAGCATTTTATTTATTTATTTTTTCAACGTTTATTTATTTTGGGGACAGAGAGAGACAGAGCATGAACGGGGGAGGGGCAGAGAGAGAGGGAGACACAGAACCGGAAACAGGCTCCAGGCTCCGAGCCATCAGCCCAGAGCCCGACGCGGGGCTCGAACTCGCGGACCGCGAGATCGTGACCTGGCTGAAGTCGGACGCTTTAACCAACTGCACCACCCAGGCGCCCCCACGTCAGCATTTTAAAAAGATCCCGTCTTTCTCCCTCTCTCTCTGTCCTTCCTGTGCCTTCTCTCTCAAAATAAAGAAATAAACATTTAAAAGAAATAAAAAGATCATTCTGCAGCAGAATGGGATGTAAATGGCTCAGGAGGGAAAATTGGGAATGTTTGGTTGGGTACGAGTGATGATATCAACTCCTCAAAGAAGGCCTAGGAGAGGGGGAGGGTTGATTGAGATGGGACGGAATACCCCGGGCAAGTTAAAACTAAAAACCAGAGTCAGCCTCCCGATGGCCTCTTATTCCAAAAGGCAGGACTCTGCACTCACGACGTCGCCCCTCCACCTTCCCGGTTAATAGACCCAGGAATGAACTGAGCTATTGATTGTGGAGAAGAGCTACCCTGTGGAGGCCAGAAGCTCCTGTGGTATTTTCGACCGCTTGCCCATCGCTTGCCAGGAAACGTCATTTAATTTTGGATTAGATGGATTTGCCAGGAAACACGCCCTTGGGTCGCAGCGCCGAGGAGCAGAGGTCGGTTTTACAATTATGAAACAGCTTTTCCAGAAGCACCGGAGGTCATCAGGCCATCTCCTTAAAGGGCAGCTATTGAAATGATACCCACACAGCCTCTCACTGGTGGGCACACCGGTGACAATGACGTGTGCGGGGGAGGAACTCTGGGCACAAGGCCGTGAGCTAGGCGGCTTGGGAGAAGAGGTTGGGGTTCCT